AAGAGCTGGTATAATTTGAAGCAGATCAAAATGTTTCAGCGGCCCAGCAGAGTCGCGCGGAAGTGGGGTACGGAGTAGCTGAAACTGTAGCAGTTGCTACGAATTCGTGATTCCATGCGACGTTTTAGTGAATCAAATTAGTCAAAGCTGGTTTAGTTTGAAGCAAGTCAAAACGTCTAAGCGGCCTTGCGCGTTTCATGTTGTGTGTTGTTGGGTTTAGCATTTTTTGCGGATGGGGGCAAACCGAAATTGTAGGCTGCACAGGGCAAACTCATGTGGGAGCCTCTCGAACATCCTGGACCTTGTCTCGACCTTCGTTTTGACAGATTTGACGGGCTCATGTTCGAGGTTAAAAAACCCTTCCAAAACGTGCGCGCCACAGGGACCTCCCCAGAACGCGTTCCCTTGTGATTCGATTTCTCGCTTCACGCGGATTTGAGCGGCCGACAACTTTCGCAAATTTTCACGTGGGCAGGTTTCTGAAGTGTCGTTGACAGCTGCAGTCTGTGGACTTGATCAATATCAGCCGTTCAACTATCTACCTGACAAAATGTGGGTCTCAGCAGCAATTTAACTCCAACCGTGGAAAAATCTCAGAGAAACGTCTTTTCACGTGAGAAGAAGGACCATACGAAAGCGCTTTTAGGGGCACAGCAAAGGAATAAGAACAATCGAAATGCCAGTCTTCTTCCACGGCAAAGACTCCCATCGTGAGATGCAGTCTTCCTTTGGAGACAGAGCACGTTCCTCCACTGACACAAGCAAAAGACTGCAGACAGAAAAAATGCAAAGAACTTTGAGAACTACAGTCCCTCTAAACTCTACTTGCAGATGTCGAGAGAACGATCGTCAGAGCGATGGCATGTAGAACCAGCCTCGTGGCATTGCGAACGCCAACTGTAACACCTGTCACCACAAATAATCTATGCACCATGACAAACTTCTTGCTAGATTTGCTTTCTGACCTCAGGAAAGCACCGAATTGCAGCAACACGAAGCAGATGCTGCAAGCACTGCCGTCGCCATAGTCGGACATGACAAAGTGGACGAGGATGCACATCAGGGTATTGGCAAATGTACCAAGAAGCTGCTGAACATCAGAGGTGCACCACCACCGTCGTTGCAAATGGCACAGAGCAGCAAGAAGCCTGCCGGGCTGGTCCCGGAGGAAGGTTGGAACCCAGGTTTAAACCTGGGGTCCAAACTATTTCTTTCCGAGATTACCAACATAACTACCCGCCCACAAGTTCCCGCCCAAATGCAACTTGATATTGCATAAAAGTATATAAAGAATTTGATTCGGAAAACTCTAACATGAGACTGTTCGCACTGACAAGAAGCGAGCAACATGACTGAATGCAATGCACGGGCTCCACATGTTTTCACGCTGCAGTGCAACGATTGTCGAAAGAGTGCACGAAAGAGGAAGGAAGGAGAGGAGCATAGCCGATGCAATGCTCCGTCGTTCACGTGTTGTGCCAACTGCACCCCACGATCCATGAAAAACTCTCCCCCTCCAAACAGGGCTGGGCGGGTGGGTACACAAATGAGTCCCCCCCCTCCCAAATGTTCGGACTAATAAAGATTGTCAACTGTTCCTCCAAAGGAGGGAACAACAACCGCACATGAAAAAGTTCATGTAAAATGAAACATCGTGTAACAAGAAAATCAATCCATAAAAGAGTCGAACCCGACTCAACAAATGGAAAGCATTTTCGATATTGGCACATGAAAATGTGAGCAAGTTATGTTTCTTAATCTCATTTTTCCTTTCCGAACGCAGAGTCAGGCGGCGGAGCTGTCGTAAAACTCAGCGTAAGGCTGACGACTCTTTGCGGGGCGACAAGTGGACAGGCACTTTGAGTGCCCGGCTGCCAGGCAGCTGCTATGCATCCGTGTCTGCCGGTCCGTAGACCAAAGCACAGACTGCTGGCGTACAGCAGTATGTTAGCAATCATTCGTCCCGAAGAACAGCAATGATCACAGCTATAAAGAACGTGTGCTACGGAAACATGGTGAAGTAATGCCCCCGTCATTCGTGTTATAATCGGCGTCCCAACTGCAACGATGCAAGCAACGGTGGCCGTAGCAATGCCCGACACCAATAGCAGCCTCCCGAAGCTGGCAATGAGTCGTAGGGCATATCTGCGGCTAGATCGCGAAAAGCTCACAGTACACCCACTCATGAGAGATAGTGCAAACTCAAGCATAGCGCATGTCCGAAAAACCATCGGTGATCATGATGCGTACTGAAATGTCTCCTGGCCTCAAGTCGAGGAGCGGAGCATTGAATCCCATGTTGCAAAGAAATTTGTATTCTGCCTCACCCAGACCCTCTCGTGTTGGCGCCACTTCGAAGGCTTCAGGTCCATTTTAGTTGGGGTTTCTTCTTCGGGGTTGAAGCGCGCTGCTTCTGCAGATCTTACTGGTGTAGCGCGTGCCACACAGAAGAGTCGAGGCAGTGCTTCTTCTGCCATTCCTCCGAAGTACAGACACAATGCAGGCTACAGTGTGGTTGCGCTCTCACTTTTCTGGTCTGCTCTTGAAGTGCTAGGCGCGTCTAGTGCACCAGCAGTTGGCAAATTCCGTGCAGCGCACGTGCAGCGGATCACCTGTCAGCATGGTCTCATTTCTTGGTGAATCTTGAAGGGCTCGGATGTACGCTTGAGCTTTTCGATGGTGTTGTCATGGCTGATATTTTGGTTACAATGACTCTTCAGAATGGTGATCCAGCTGGCACCCAATGACTCTAAAAGCTCTGCGGTGGTTATGCAGGATTGGCCAAGCCGAGCTTCTTCGTTGTGCTATGACAATGTCATTCATCGAGCATACTTGGGATGCACATCGGTTTGTCGTGACAGTGATGAAGATGATAATGACAAGGAGCTTTTGATTCCCAGGAGTCCTCACATTACACAGGCGCGGCTGCGGCACACTGCAGCCCGCTGCGCGATCAGGTTGTGAAATCCTTCACAGCAAGCATGTACCATGGGACGGTCCAGCGTGCGACTCATTACCACGCAGCATCTCGAGTTTGTGCGATCGATCAGTGCCTTGATCTCCTCTCAGGTTTTTCCGGCAGGACGCTTTGTATATTGAATCACCGGAGGCTCCGTGGGTCACTATTGGGGAGCGACCAGGGCCGACTTCACCATGGGCCCACAATCTCCCAATCTCTCGCACTGTGCTGAGACTTCTGATGATCGTCGCATCATTTGCATTGCTTGCTGTCTGCGAGGTGTCCAACGTTTGAGCGCTGAGCATTGCCAATATCTCTAAACTAATAAGACTTGTTCCCAATATTATGATTAAAGGGGAAGATGAATGAAGAAAAGGAAAAGAGAGAAGGAACATTCACCAGTGTTTGAACCCTAAGTTCAAACACTGGTGTTCGAACGCTAAGTTCGAACACCAGTGTTCGAACATCCACACGAAATTGCTGAAAGAGGCTCAAAATCGAAGAAAATAGATGTCCACGAAATTGCTTTGGGGCTTGAATTTTTTTTGGCGTGGGCGGGCCTCGTCGACTGCAATCCGCAGCTCTCGGCCCCTGCAAGAAGCTGAGCAATCGAAATCAAAAAGCCAAGCAACTGTACAATAAGGTACAAGAAAAAGACTGCGACTTGCAGACTTCGCCGGCAGATATCGTTCAGCCCTTGTTAAGCTTCAACTGCCATAGCCGCTCAGATGCCCCGCTTTCCATATAAACTGGGTAGCGCAATGGCGTGCACACGCTGTAGAGACCAGCTTGCCAGGAGTGTAGGGGCACACAACCCACGTGTATGCCAAGCAAGACGGCAAGTGCGCAGGCAGGATGCGTTCTCAAGCCCAGCTTCCCACCGGAGCGGGCCTCGCAAGGGCAATGGAAGTAAAGCCAGAAATTGAAGACGGACAGAGCTGAGCCAGATTGCAGGAGAAAGCATGGCAACATCGACACTGACAAGTGTTGCCAAAGACACCAAAATTGCCCTGCAACGCCAGGCCGGCAGGCAAAGCAAACATGGCCATATATCCCGATGAAATAACGACACGCAGTCCATGCAGCAACCCACCCCAGCTCTCGCAAGGGCACAAAGGGCAGGTCAGACAATCGGCAGTAGCACCATGAGCACCGATGCGAGGTGCATACAAAGATGGCCGGTGGTGAACGCATTGCTCTCAAAGGTCCAACTTCCCACCCAGAGCATCGCCACGGCTATGCTAGAAGACAGCTGGCGGAATGGCCAAATCAGCTGACCACCATGGACAACACAACGAAGGACCTGTTGTACGAACTTGATCGTCTGAGACTTCTTCGTTTTGAGCAGCCACACAATCAATCCTTCATGTTCGAGTTAAATTCTTCTTATTTCCACGGAGCTTTGCTTTATTTCTAAAGTAAGATTCCAATCACAGTATTCCCAAACTATATGGGAAAATCAAAGTATATAAAGAATAAGAAAATTGCTCAGGCAGATGTGGCGCTTTTTCCTTCCGGCAAAGCCGAAGGGGGAAGTCGTGACATCCCCGCACCGATCGATGGCGAACACGAGGATCGCCAACGAACACCCCGGGAGTGGAGGGAGGGACAAAAATTTCCGGCCCTTTGGCCAGGGAGCAGCTACCCACCCATCCCACCCCTGTCTCGAGGCGGCGCGGGAAATAAAAGAGATGAACTCAGACGATTCAAAGCATGCATTCATGCCATGAAATGTGGTTCAAAATAAAGCAAAGGCGTTTTGAAAACTTCGCAATAATTTTCAAAACTCTCCTCGGAAAATAAAGCTAGTAGAGGCAAGCCTCATGTGTCGCTTATTTTCCACGGAGCTTTGCTTTATTTCTAAAGTAAGATTCCAATCACAGTATTCCCAAACTATATGGGAAAATCAAAGTATATAAAGAATAAGAAAATTGCTCAGGCAGATGTGGCGCTTTTTCCTTCCGGCAAAGCCGAAGGGGGAAGTCGTGACATCCCCGCACCGATCGATGGCGAACACGAGGATCGCCAACGAACACCCCATTCACTTAAGAAGGAGATCAATCGTGGCATTGCCTTTGATCGGGCATCGAGGCGACACTCTGCACACCTGCCCCCTGACTGGAAAGATTGACTTAGCTCTCGAAGGAGGATCGGCCGGATTGCTTGCACTTGGAACGCGGCTAAACCAAGGGAGCATCGCCTCAGCGTCGCAGCTCTCAAAGATCAGCAAGAGTTGCCTCCACAAAGGGTCTTTTGAAGAGCCTTTCACCAAAGAGGCCAACACTCCGGAGTGATCCACATACATGGTCACCCTCTGCATGTTCAAGTGCTTCGACCACGCTTCTCTCGCACATACCACTGCATACATCTCAACTGGGCCTATCAAATGCCTTTTCCCGAGAGCCTCCCAGCTCTGTACAACGCTCAAAGGGATAGCACATGCAAAGAAGAGAGTGCACCACGCGCCGTTGTCGAAATGGTACAAGACTCCTCCGACAGTGGCGGGGTGAGTTTCATTCGTCGGCTCGTACGCACCATCTGTGAAAATCACAGAACGGCGAGACCCCACACAGGCCGGGACTATCCTAGGGGTACCCCCAAGAACCCGGGAGCTAAGATTACAAAGGGCCTGCACAGCCGTGGCATCAAGGGCTTTGGCCTGAGAACTCATCGTGCACGCCCTAAGGTCGGCCAGTGCCAATCTGCCCAATCGCCCGTGCAGCTGGCCCTCGGCAAACTGGAGGCGACCGAACAAAGACGGCAGAGTCTTCGGATCAAGATGGCCCGCGCTCAAGACGGAGTCCACCGCCTCAGCGATGGCAGTAGCACGTTCGGGCTTATTCCCAATCTTAACTACCCCAAAGCTACCAAGGTCAACCCGAACGCCTAGAAGTTCGGCCTCATGGCTGAAGGGAAGATCCTTATCTTCTGCCCAGGCGAAACCCAGCAGGTCCAACGCGGCTCTGACAGTCGACTGCGTGTTGTTACAAAGCGGCAAGACCTCTAACACCGGGTAATCGTCGAAGTAGTTGCAGGCGAGCACCTGCAACGCAATCAGAACCCTTTGGAGCAATCTTGCAACGCGATTGAATGAAACCACCGACGAGGTGGCCCCAAACAGAAGGGTTCGGCTCTCGAAGCCAAACGCAAGCCCCGAAACCGGGTCCTTGATGGCCACTATGCTCAGACAGCGGTCTCGTGGAGAAACCGCCAACTGTTTATAAGCACTTTTCAAGTCCACTGTTTTCAAGCTCGGCTGAAGCGCATCGGGCTTCAGGGCCCTCCAGAAAGAATGCACCGGAAAGCGAGATGGTCACCGTCCGACAAAGGGATGCTCACCTCGCCTTTTGCAATGAAGATCTTAAAGAGGGTGATCGCAAGCCAGACCAATTCATCGAGGGCCCTCAAAGAAATCCGATCGGAAACAGCATAAGCGCAGTTTACAGAGTTCTCGGCCAAATCGTCTATCGACCGCGTCTTGGCTTTTTGCACAATGCCGAACCTCCGCACTGGAAGCCAGCCTTCTGGATGACGGGCTTGCAGCTCGTCCCACGAGTAAGGCCCGGTTAGCCACTCCTTGACTAGCATCTCTTGCTGTGTGAGTGTGGAGTCCCACACTTCCCGAGCTAAATCGTCCACCTCCGCGTTCGCCACCTTCGCCCACAGCGCAGGCCTAAGGAATTTAGCATGCTGCACAAGCTCTGCCCTTGTCATCAGAGCCGGTCTTCTATCCACATCGAAGATGCCAGAAGGACTCGACTCCCCCACTAAAGGAAACCCATGCTTGAGGTGTTCGAAGACTTCAGTGTCAGGCCAACTGAAAGACGATGCAATCTTCTCCAAAAGCAAGATGTTCTTGCCCTTCATAACAGAAGCTACACCAGGATCCATGGCAGCATGCAGATTTGCTTCGGCACCAGCCAAATCGCGTTTCCAAGAAGTCCACTGCTGGAGCAAATTCAGACGGTGTTTCATCACACCAACCGGGCCCTCTTTCAAGGTAAAAGCCAACGCTCTCAACATGAAGTCTGGGACTGCCACGCACAAGTCGAAGGGATGATCGATATGCAATGCCTGAGCCACAAACTCTTGTTCCGTGCGGTAAATGCCAAAGGTAACTGCTGAAGGCACACCTGACAGGCTTCCGACCTGTTTCGCACCGACGACCCCCCGATCACACACAACGCGAAGAAGGCGGGAGCCAGGAGGGATGGACCCTACGGCACATGTGAGATTGCCTTTATTATCCAAAGGAAGGGGCCACGGGAACTCACTGACCGTGGCCTGGCACTTAAACTCGGCGATCTGCGGCTGGAATTTTGACAATCGAGGCTGCCACCCAGCGGCTGCGACGGCAGAATGCCGCGAACTCTGCAGTGGAACAGCGTGCTCAAGTAAGAGGCCAGACTGGCCAACCGCCAGCTGCAGGAGGCCAGCAAACACATCACAGAATTTGGGTGTGTACAAGACATCTGGTGCAAGCGAGCCCGCAGCGTGGGGCCCGGGGCGACAACGACATGCTGGCACCGGCATGCCAGCCAGCGCGGCCTGGGTTGTGCACAGACGCATTTTGACCGGACAGGGAGCCCCGTAGCAACCTGCACAGAAGTCTACGCAATGGAGGTTGTCGGGCAAGTCGAGCTGTTTCCACAGGGCTGACGCCAGGGGATGCAAGACACTCCAATGCGAATCAGATGCAAGCAAGAGTTTGGCGAGGCGAATGGTTTGCCCGGCGCTAAAAGTAGCCTTAAAACAATCCTTGGTCGCAGGAAAGAAATGCACGTGAAAAGGGGCGTCTTGGCTGATGACAGTCTACGCAAAGGAGAAACCCGACTCAGTTTCAATGTCCACAGGGACAAGGTGAGTGTGCACTCGCCCAGCGGGGCGAGAATGTTCAAGCGCTATGATTTGGAATCCGTCCCGCCGCACCCGAGCCGGCAGCAGCCCGGACCCACACTTTATCTCGACATAGAGAGCAGAACCGGGCTTCAAGGGACTAGCAGGGTCGCTCACAGGTTCCTTAGGGCCAACGGCGGGGACAACCGAAGCGGGCAAGGGCCTAAGCGACTCCTGAGCTGCAGTAGAGGTCAAGGATGGCGGCTGACGAGCACACACTTCTGCAGGCACCAACCGCGCGCCCTCGGGCGCGCATTCCGGAACATCAACATGACACTCGCGGAGAAAGTCAAGATGTTCCTTGCATAGGGATTCGACATGACGGATTGTGAATGCAACCAGCAAGACTCTACGGCCCTGCCACGCCTCGGTGTAGTGCCAATTGTGTCTGGCATTGAATCGGACAGGGCCCTTTGCAACCTGCAAGCGAGAGCCTCGGGCACCATTAAGGTCGGATACATCCCGACCGTTTTCATGCTCCACAAAGATGGCTCCACCTGAGAATTCAGTCAGTGCAATCGCCAAGTTATGCAAGTTGGCATTCCACTGATCACGATGGCGCTCAGTGCGAACATCCTCGAATATATTTATTGAAGAAAATTTAAACCCCGGTGCACGCTGTCTCACAACCTTGCAAAGACTTTGAGCGCCTCCGGGTTGGCTGAGGCATTGGCCTTCAGGCCCACATTACCACCAAGAACATACGCTCCCGTGGCATAAGATTTCGAAGTTGGGAGAGGTGCATCGGCACCCCTCTTCAAGGCATCCGAAGGAAGACCATCGAAGACTCGCAGAACATCGGTGGCACTCACATGACCCTCGTCAAGTGTAGAGCCTGCTGTGCGGCTCCGTGACTCCGCCCCGTCACGGGGCTTCGGGGACCTGCTGCGTGCGGCCTCCACCATACCTGGTGATGGCCTGGCGATGGCACTGTGAGAGCCAACGTTGTGCACGTGATGATCCTCTCGATCAACACCTGATTGCGGACGACAATCCACTCCACTCGGAGGAGAGCCGCCCGCACATGCATTGCTCGGCCGATGAACTCCCTCTCGGAGATCATCCACCTGTGCTGTCCTCGCTGCCGGCTGATGCACACTCTCTGGAGCACCGGCCGCCTGCGAAGCACCCTCGAGACCAGCTAGTCACGAGCCACCCTGAGCCCGCTTTGGGCACTGCGCTGCACCATGGTTATGAGCACCGCACTTAGGCACTGCACAGATGTGCAAGCCCTTCTCGCACTTCTGCCCCTTCGTCGAGCAGCCTCCCAGGTTGAAGGCAAAGCAGATTGGGTCCCCACGATTAGTGTGGGACCTGCAGCCTTCCAAGCCGGCGGGCAACCTTGTCATGAACCTCTGCTTACCTTTCTTTCCTTTGCCCCCACCTTTGGTGTAAGGAGATGGCCTCTCCCACTTGGGAGCATCCGGCTTCTGGGGAACATCCTTTAGGGCAGGGGCCGGAAAAGGTTGCAATAAGCATGACACTTCGTTCATGTACATCGCATCTGGCAGAAGTGTGTCCAACGGGCGACCCGATGCGACGGTCTGCACTCCTGCCCTGGTCTTATCACGAAGCTCGGCAAACAGCTGCCGATCCGCCGACTCAAGCTGCTTCCAAGTGGGCCTGACAAAATGCTCCGCAGGTGTCTGCATGCGAGCCTTCATCAAGCGCTGAGTCCATTGGTCGGAGACACTGAAATCGATCAGGTTCGCCTGATCCATGGCCAGAGACCTCCTCGTGAGGGCCTGCTGAACAAGAATCTCTGATGAAGTATCCGCAACCAAGTCAGGCTGCTTATGCTCAATCCGAAGCTTGCCAGAGGACTCTTCGACCGTGAACCTAACATCTCGCTTCTTCTCGCCAGCCAATTCAGCTTCCTTTGACACACACCGGTCCCACGGAATGTACCTGAGCTCATTCGCCTCGTAGGAGGCCACAGCAAGGTCGACAAGTGCATCGGCAGGCTCCAGAGGCCCCTTTAGCGAAATTCCGACAAGCTTCTTTGCCTGCCGCTCGTAACGCTCAGACCTCTCAGGCTGCGACAATGGCCTGACAGTCGACTCGGGATCGGCCTTCTCGATCCGCTGCTTCATTTCCGCGGTCACAATGGCATAAGCCTCATTGTACACCGCACGCCAATTGGCCTTGTCTGCGATTGTCAGATCTCGTTTCAAGATATCCTTCAACACCCGCATCAAAGGCTCCTCGTCTGTCTGGCCAGGGGTGAAAGAAGAAATGAAAGCCAGCCTCCTCAAGTTTCCCACCTCAGGCAGAATTTTCAGGACATCTCCTTCCGCGAAACCCACGACGCTCAATCGTGACTGCAGAACCGATTGGCTCTCAGAGTAGTTCGCCATCTTCAGGAGAAGGACCCGGCTAGCAATCCGCTTAAAAGTCACATGAAGTATGTCAGCATGTTCTAATGCATACACAATGCGATGCGTGAGCTGGACTCCGGCCGACCAGTGTTAGCGCAGACTCTAAAAGACTGAGCCGACTCCTCGGAACAACGATGCCCTGTTCTAGTGCACATCACTCTCGACCCTCGCATTCACTCAAGCTATCGCATCACTCAGCTCAGGAATCACGCTCCAGACACTCAGAAATCCCTTCTTTTCTACAGCATCTCCTCGGCATCACTTCTTAGGTGGACAGCAGCTCCTACACAACGGAAACAAAATTCGCGGGACGGAAGACAGCCTTGCATACCTGGTTGAGATGCTCCTGCCACATCTGAACTTGTCGCCCTCCTCGGACACGACTGCATGAATGAAACGGCTGTCTTTATTCCTGAACAAAGGGACTGCCTCAAGCTCGGCCCGCAAGCCTGCATCGGGCTCCCATTGCCTCCCCAACTCATCGTCGACATCCTCGGCATCCTCGCTGGCCTCGGAAGAAGAATCCGACAGAACCTCGTCAGGAGGAATGGGCACCCCCTCCGGCTCTCCAAAGCGCTTCACGAAGTAGCCGGACCTGGTGGCATCCGGCATGAACCTTTCGCGTGACACTTCGAGCAGGACCTCTTGCAGCCGGCGCACAGGAGCAGACATGTTGTCTCTCCCATAGATGATCTCGGTTCCATCACGGCCCCTGGCGTGATAACCAAGGGCCGCCCTCACCTCGCGGGCTAATCCGAATTTGGCGCTCCAACTCAAGGTCGTCGCCTTGAGACTGTGCGTCCCAAGCGGTTCGACAGAAGACCTGTCGCATCCTGCACGGATCAAGAGTGACTTCATCCATTTCGTGGCACTTGCCACCGCCAACGGCGCCGTTTGCCACCCTCCTCCAGAGAGCGGACTCGGAAGCAAGGGCTTACCCGTCCCCAAAGGAGGCCCATGCACTTTATAGAACTCAATCCACTTAACACCCCAGGGCACCTCGCCTATTCCCTGGATGGGAGCGAACATGTGCAAATACCTGACCTTTCTTTCAAGTGAAAACGAAGTTTTGCTTCGCTCAACAGCAGCCTCAAGGTATCCCACAACGCCATCTGGGGTATCACTCAAGTCGCAAGTCATTGCACCTGCAGCCTGGGCATCTGAGTACCTCGCTCGTGCGTAAAGGGTCCAAACAAAGAAGCCGGCAGCGACCCGATCTGCGGGTTCGAGATTGATCGAACCAGATGCAATGGCTTCCAACTTGCGCACATGATCAACTTTAAGAGCTGGCTTCTGTCGAGTCTTTCTCTTGTCAAGATATAGCTTCGACGACAGCCCACGGACCCTGGGGCTAAAGACTTCATCGCTCACCTTCAAGCTCACAGTGAACTTTGCAAAAGCGAGGCTGCTCAAGAAGCTCCTTGCGAAAGTGGGCGCCTCGTGTGATGCATAGTCTTGAAGGAAAGCATAGACCCCGGCTTCGGTGACAGGGAAAGGATTGACCTGGTGACCTCGGCAATGCTTGACGTACCTGGCTAGAGGCCCGGCACGGCCCGAGATTGTGACGCTCGCCTTCTGAGAAAACACATCTTGCAATGAGGTCTTCAAGTCGGCATCTCGTCCATTTTCCCGGTCTAACCGAATCGACAAAGTCAAACCAAAATCCTCGGGGAACCTCTCAAGAATCCCAAGCCACTTTGCCAAAGCCGCCTCCCTTGCTTCGGAGAGTTTTTGATCCCAGCTCTGCCCCGGTGCATTCGGGACCCTCACTCCTGCAAGCCTGAGTGATTCAAGCTTTCCTGAAGACGACTTAACCGACCCTGCAGGGACGGCCGGCCCCACAGGCATTGACACTATGCTCCCACCTTTGGCGTAAGGTGAAGGCAAAGCAGGCATGTCAAGAAAAGCAGAAGATACTTCCCACGGCATCTTAACTGCGTTTCCAATCCCTCGGGATGCCACACGAGTCGATGACACACAATGACTCTCATAAGCCCCAAGCACACGAGCCTTCTTGAGGCTGCTTTCAAGAGAGTCACCTCCCGACATGCTGGCTGCAGATCGGCCTTGTCAAGCCAGCATGGCCAACGCTACTCCCCACTTCTACAAAAATTTCCGGCCCTTTGGCCAGGGAGCAGCTACCCACCCATCCCACCCCTGTCTCGAGGCGGCGCGGGAAATAAAAGAGATGAACTCAGACGATTCAAAGCATGCATTCATGCCATGAAATGTGGTTCAAAATAAAGCAAAGGCGTTTTGAAAACTTCGCAATAATTTTCAAAACTCTCCTCGGAAAATAAAGCTAGTAGAGGCAAGCCTCATGTGTCGCATGATCGCAATTTGTTGATTCTGTTGCTTTCTGTCATCACAATGTGTTCGTGGATTCTTTTTTCCGGTTCCTCGGCTGGAGACATCAAGGACGAAGACGAGCGTGGGCGGGCCGGGCAATGACGGGACTGCTCAGTAGCTGGAGAGGCGGCTGGGTTTTGTATGCATGGACGCAGTGGGAGGACTTTGATGTTGCAATGCCACCTGCTTCGCCTCTTCCAAAGCTTTTCCCTTCATGGTTTCATTTTGAAGATCTCGACACAAGACAATGTTGTCAGAATCCGGCTGAACGTGCGGACCAACCTTGTCCTCATTTTATTCCCCAAAGTCCTTCTGCGCAATCACATCAGACATTCTTGAAATGCTATCTTTTGGCAGTCGCTTGTGGCTCTAGCTTTGGCTGCCTTACACAAGAATATTTGCGCTTGGATGTGGTTTTCGCTTTGGCTTCAGCTGCAGCAATCAACGAATGAATTTGAGCAATGTGATCAGACTTATCTTCAATATCGGAGATGCAAACGAGCGCAATGTCGCTTTTCTAAGTTCAAATCGCCGTAACTGCTGCAATCTTGCAATCGGAGCCATCTTTGCAAATTCATTCGACCAGAACTCTCATTGCGCTGGGTGACTGAGGTGTCGCAGCTTGATTGGTGTGTGCATTCACTCCTTTTGCAGTTCTTTGATGCTCCGGATCGCCAACTGGAAGGAGGCATTGCAGTTCCCGCTTCAGTTTTGCTGCCTTTTTGGAGGGATTATTGCGAGCAATGCGCACAGACGGAGACCTGTGTAAGATCATGAGCGTTAGTCGCTTGTGAAAAGCACTTCTGCTAGAGCTGCTAGAGTGTTGTTTTGCTTCGGGAACGGTTTCAAGGTCTGGATGGGAATCTTGATGATCCCACGGTGTTTGTCCTTCCGGGTACATTTGAGAATCTTCGATCTCAAAGTGTACCTTTGTTGTTTGAGAGGCTGTGTGGAACACCGCAGATCCAGCAGTCGTCAACCCAAAAGCATTCATCCAGTACCTGATCCAGGTCGATGTGTGATCCGCGACAAGGGCACAACCAACCATTCTGGTAGACATCTCCGTCATCACCAAAATCTTCATGTTGGGTGCATCAGGCTGGTCCTTGACAAAGGTACCAGTAACCAAGTTGAGGAAACAAAAATCTGCTTGCAGCTCCACAGGGCGATTACCCACATCCTTGCCTCTCCTATGTTGCGTCACACCTCTTGTCTTTTGACAATGGGGACACCCGGGCATGAAAGGGATATGTCCTCGCATCCGATGAACTTCGAGTTCCTCTTTCATCTTCACAGTCATAGCTGACACGTTCCCAACTTCCATGGGACTTGAAGAACCCTCTTGGTCTACCTCCATCTTTACGTGAGTCCTTCCAAAGGTCACCTTCTTGGTTGACGTTTCTGCACCTTGCAGATAAATCCATGGACATCCAGCCCAGGACTGTCCATACCCAACCAATCCTCCTTTCACCCCCGCTTTCGAAAACTTCACTTCCCAGCCGGTAGCCACCATGTGCTCCGTGCTCAATATGTTGTGACCAACATCAGCTACAACTCCAGTCACCATCACCGGGACCATCCCGATATATGAATCCCCTTCATACAGAGGCATCTTCACTCTCAGTCACTCTCACTCTCACCCTTTCAAACACCGTCACAGGCGTATCATTTGCAGCTGAGTACCTCTCACTCGGGCACAAAGGCATCCTTGACACCACATGGAAGGTATCGAGAAACTTCTTGGCAATCACTGTCACTGAAGCACCAGAATCAATGAGCCACCAATTTGCCATCTGGTCGTTGTTCAGGCTACTAACTCCGTTCACCTGAGATCCTTTCGGTAAATTCACCGACCCTGGCAGATCCTTTCCCAGCATCTCACTGAGATCACTTGAAATCCTATGTTCCAATTCGGCCATCCGAACTTTGAAACTTGCTTCTTGAGTCACAACAAACTCATCCTGGGCCGGCGGAATCCAATCCCGTCGAGCCTCTTCAACGATCTCGTTGAGTGGCATCATCACCGAGCTCACAAGAGCCTCGGACTCTGGCTCAGTCCATTCCTGATTTCCAGTGAGATCAACACCCTCACCTTCACCAGGCGTCACTTCAGCAACGGTCTTTCCTTTTCCTTTGCCTTTATCCTTTCCACCCTTGGCCTTTGCCTTACCTTTCGGCGAGGGCTTTCCATCACCCTTCGCATTCGGCGCATCTTTTCATTGATCCTTCTTTGCTGGAGCCCAGCAGTCTCGGGACAAATGCCCCTTCCTTCCGCAGTTCCAACACTCCACATCCTTGTTTCCCTTAGCGCCACCCCTGGAAGCACTCTTGCTTCGATCATCTCTTTTTCCTTTCTTACCTCCTTTTCCTTTAGGAGTTCCCTTCTCGTCACCACCTTTTCCTTTCTCATCACCTTTGAACGGATTCAACTTTGTACCAGGCGTTTCAGACCAAACACGCTGTTGCACCTCATACTTCAAAGCAACCCGCTTGAGATCCTCAAACGAATCACTGTCACCGTGAAGCAAGCAGTAGCTTCGACACCTCTCGGGCAAACTCCTAAGCAACACCATAACCAAATCTGCTTCTTGCAGCTCGAGTCCTTGCGAATGCACGTCCGAATCCAAACTGTTCAACAGTTTCGTATACTTATGTTGCTCAGACTCAATTTTTCTCACAATCTCAGGGATAGTTGGCGCTCTCACCGTCTGATTGGCCAACTGTGCTCTGAAATAGAGACACTCAGACCGAGATTTCAAGCAAAACTCCTTTGCCAACAATCTCAAAGCCACAAATCCCGATTGCTGATACGAAGCTGCTCCTTCCACATAGTTCTGCAGAATCAAAGAACTCTTATCATGGCCTGCAAAGGTTTGCCGCAAGATGTGCAACAACCGAATCGATCTCTTCTGCTGCTCAACAGTCAGCCTATCCTGTCCAAGGACACCTTCGTCCTTTGTCCGAACAGCATGCAGAACACCTCGGAACCCAAACCAACCCAACTGGTCAACTTCTCCATCCAGGAGGAAGCCTGAAGCTTCAAAGATCCTATCCTTCCATGACGTAAAGTCAATGACAAGTAAACTCGGCAACCACTTGTCCGATTTCGCAAAGACATCTCTCTCCGCATCCTGAAGATCCCTTGGTGGTGGGGGTGGTGGAGACCTACCCGGGCTCGGAGTACTTATCCGATAGGATTCCAAAACTGTACACTAGCTAGCGTATCCTCCCGCCACCTCCCACTACACCTCCGGGAGTACGTAGCAAGCCTAGCTAAAGCTAACCGGCTTCACGCAGTAGCACGGACAACACGAACTTCTCTCTTTTTAGCGTTGTGGCGAAGTCCCGCGTTAGCCCGGAGAAGAACTCTAGCCTTTGGCTAGCTAATCTCCAGGGTGGGTTGGGTGGGCACTCGAAATTTGCCCCCCAATAGCTGGGGGCCTTTCAGCACAATGGCCACGGAGTAGCACTGCTTCACCGGCCATGTGCAGTCACTCTAGCAAACAGACAAGCTTCGTTCTGTTTAGCTTCAGAGGAAAACCCCTTCGAAGTTTTCTAGCGAAACACCTTCGATGTTTCCCCAAAGGGATACTAGCGCTAGCATACACGGTCGTACCTCGTCCCTCGGCACGAGTGCGTACACTAGCTAGCGTATCCTCCCGCCACCTCCCACTACACCTCCGGGAGTACGTAGCAAGCCTAGCAAAGCTAACCGGCTTCACGCAGTAGCACGGACAACACGAACTTCTCTCTTTTTAGCGTTGTGGCGAAGTCCCGCGTTAGCCCGGAGAAGAACTCTAGCCTTTGGCTAGCTAATCTCCTTGCGCAGCCGTAGGGCTACCAGGGACCTAGCTTACGGGCCTTCTTAGCGAACCTCGGAGCCTTCGGCTCTCTGGTCCTTTTCCTCACTCCTAGCTCCTGGAAGTAGCTAGCCGAGTGTTCGAGGAGACGGCCCAGCACGCGCCACTCTAGCTTTTCCCCCTCCAGGTTCACCCTGAAGTCCGGGGAGAAACTAGCGAAGTTCTCGTTCGTGAGGTCGTCCGCTAGCTGGTTCAGATCCCTGCGGATCCACTGTAGCTGAAGCTCACAGTTCTTAGCGGAGAGTTCTTCCGCTAGCTCCATCAACACCAAGGTCGACGGGAACTTCGTCGTCATAGCCTTCTTCAGTAGCGCCTCGTTGGACTGGTTGTCGGTGTAGCCACGGATGGCCACCTTGGAGGTCTTCTTAGCGTCCCCTTCCGGGACCCATAGCCTCACACCGACCAGAGTAGCCAGTAGCTCCAGCGCGGCTATGACCTTGTTCGGGTCCCCTTTAGCGAAGGCCCAGGGGGCCCATTCCTTCTTCACCTCTAGCGAGAACCAGGGACCGTGGCAGCCGTCCACTAGCTCGAGGAAGCCCCCAATCCAGGCACGTCCATTTTCAGCTTTAGCATCGGTGTAAAAGGAGAGCGGTGCCGCACCGTCCAATAGCGAGGCCGGCTTCTGGAGACGGCCTCCTGCCTCCAGGCGGTCTGCTAGCCAACCACAGAGGACGCGAATCATCGTGG